AAATAAAATAAAATAAAATAAAATAAAATAAAATAAAATAAAATAAAATAAAATAATTCCCTAGCAAAATAAAAGCCAGCTCCTAATTCTTTCATCTCCTCACTCCATCAGACCTTCAAAGAACTAGCAGCAATACTCCAAAGCTACTGCACAAGACAGAAAGGAAAGCACCACTACAGAGGTCTCATGTGTCTCTGCCCTCACCGCCATTCCTTGTAAAGATTCTCTAGAACTTAGACTAGCATTCATCTGTGAGTATGAATGTAAAGCATCTTGGCATTCTGTCCATTTAGTTGAACTGTAGTAGTAAGTTGCCCCTACGCAGGACCGACTACCTCCTTGACCATGGATTTTTAACTGAATTTACAATGCCAGATATGAATTCTGTCTTGTGGGGCAGGCTTAAAACCAATCGGCGAGTGTTTGTTTTCGCCCGTGATAGTCATAGCGTTTATTGCATCTGTAGGCATATCTTACCTGGAAGACTGGAAGTTTATTCCTAGGATTCCCAGCTGGGCACGACCATTGGTGCTTTTTCTCTCCTGGTAACCTGCATGGCACCTTCTTGCCTTATGAAAACTGGCCAGCAGATTTGATTTCTCTGTCACTTGACTTCAGAGCATGTGATAGCTTCAGCAACAAGGTCTTATGAACCAGCTGTGATGAACACTGAAGAGGAATAGCAAGAGGGTGTGTTGTAGGAGACTCTGAGGTCTCCCTGAACAGCAACTCATGTGGGTATGTCTAATGGAGATCATTTTGATTGCCTTAACTAATGTGCAAAGACCCAGCCTGAAAGAGCGTAGCACCACTCCTAGTTTGGGGCCCTGAATTGTGTAAGAATAGAAAAAGCCACTAAGCACAAAGCGTGGATTCATTCATCCTCTCTTTGCTCTTTTTTGTTTCAAGATTTTATTTATTTATTTATTTATTTATTTATTTATTTATTTTTAAATTTTTAGATTTATTCATTTTATTTGCTTGAGTGTTTGCCTTGTATGTATGTAGGGAGAGAGGGAGGGGGGCGGAAGGAGGGAGGGATGTCCACCGCGTGCATGCCTTGTGCCCTCAGAGATCAGAAGAAGGCATTGGATGTCCTGGAGCTGGATTGCAGAGGGTTGTAAGCCACCATGTGTGTTCTGAGAACAGAACATGGTTCTTCTGCAAGAGCCTGTGTGTGTGTGCGTGTGTGTGTGTCTGTAAACATGCTCGCGCGCACACACACACACACACACATATATATACATATGTATGCAGGTACCCAAAGAAGCCAGAAGAGCGCTGACCCTTGGAGCTGGAGTTACAGGTGTTGGTAGTTCCTGACAAGCAAACTCTGGTTCTCATGACTAAGCAGTAAGTGCTCTTAACCACTGAGCCATCTCTCCTGGTCACACCTCTGCTTTTGACTGTGACTAGCTGCTGAAGTTCCCGCCTGGACTCCCCTGACAAAATGGGCTGTAAGTTGGGCTTGTGAGCTACAGTACACTCGTCTTTCCTAAGCTGCTTTTGACCCAACTTCTGAGGTGGGAGAACACAGTTCGCTGCTCTCTGCTGGGAGAGAGAATATGTGGGTGAGTGAGTAGGCCATGGGAGAAACAATCTGTGGCCCAAGTGTCTGCACAAAAGCCTTCCGGGTATGTGGAGGTGAGGTCTTGGCTGTTTTGTCTGGAGCTGCTTGTCAGGGTTGTGGTTTGGTGAACAGCCCCAGGGGATAAAATAATGCCTACCTTGCCCACATGAACAGCTAACACATTTGTTTATGGCTCTCTGTCTCTCTGTCTCTCCCTGCCTTAATCTCTGAAGAAAACTATACTGTGGAATTCACTCTCCTGGCCTCAAACTCAAGAGATCTACTTGCCTCTGCTTCCCAAGTACTGGGAATAAAGGGGAATAAAGGTGTAGGCCACAGACACCCAGCCTTACCTCAGCTGATTCTTGACAGTGCCTAGTTGCCTTTGATTTTGAGCTGTCACCTCACTGTGTAGCCACTCAGTCTCTTCCTGTGACCCTCAGGGTGACTCACAACCCCAAGAGTTCCCTTCAGGACAAAATTCAGGCCAAGTCACCTCCAAATGATGGGCTTCCCTGGGACCATCCATCTCTGTGCCCTTCATCTTCCTATCTCTCTGATTAAAAGGCATCATCAGCATCAACTCTGCCATCTCTATACTCCTCTTGGGTCTGCCAGGACACTTAGGTCTAGGCACAGGGAGGGGTAAGGCACAAAAGTCAGAATACAGCCCTGCACCTTCTGAGACATTGTCTTCAAACCCTGAACCCACTGACTAGGACAGGTCTCCAGTGTGAATCACTAGATATTGTATGAACACAAGGAAGGATCTGGGGTGACAGCTACATGATCTTGACAAGAATGAAAGCATTTTTGCAGAGAGACCCTTGAGTCCTCCCTTTGGACATTAGACAATTGAGACAATGGGCCGCAGGGAATTGGAAATCTTTCAGAAGTCTCCTACTGGGGGAAGGGAAAGCTAAAGCCTGGTGCCAGGCGGAGAGGGGGTTTGTCTCCCAAGAAGGGATTTCACTTGGTTTCCATAATCTTCAGGCACCTTACAGAAGAGACTGGAATGGGGACATTGATGGACCAATGTGGGCAAGACCTTACCTTAATCAAGATTACTTAGCTACCAAAATCTGGTGCTTTCTATTTAAGCTTCTGTCAGAATCCTGAAGATGAACTGTTTGTTCTCCAAAGTGTGGCCACACTGAATAAATCTCCTCTCTCTACTTTAAACTAGTATTACCACTCCCCAGACAAGGTCTCACTATGTAGCCTTGACAGGCCTGGAACTTTCTCTATGTAGACCAGGCTGGTTCAAAACTCACAGATTCCTCTGTCTTTGCTTCCTGAGTGATGGAATTAAAGCTGTGCACTACCATACCTGGCTTATTCTCTTTTTAAAGATATTATTAATGTATTTGAATATTCCCCTGCATGTATGTATGTACAAGCAATATATGCATGTTGGGCCTGTGGAAATCAAAAGAGTAGATTGGACCCTCTGAACCTGGAGTTGAGAGAGAGAGAGAGAGAGAGAGAGAGAGAGAGAGAGAGAGAGAGAGAGAGAGATGCATGTTCTAGGGTCATGTGCAGAGGTCAGAGGACAACTTGTGAGTCAGTTTTCCCCAACCACTTGGGACCTGGTAATTGAACTCAAGTCATCATGCTTTATGGTAAGCACCTTTACCTCTTGAAGCACCTTGCTGGCCGTATTATTTGCTTTCTTACTTGGTATATTAAGGATGATGGACAAGCTTAACTTATTGAGGCTTCCAGGGCCCAAATTTGGGCCCTGAAAATCCCAGAAACAGTACTATTAGAATTTTCCCACTGAGACTGTTGGAACAACACAGAAAAACCTGGAGTAAGTTGCTGGCCACAGTTGCTTCAAATAACCCACATCTCAATTCCTCTTAAAACTCAGTCATGGAAGTCAGAAAAGTGGAGAAAAAGGAGGAGGGCAGTGGTTTGAATGAGAGCAATCCCCATAGGTTCACATGTTTGAACTCTTGATCACTGGCTGATGGAACTGTTTGGGGAGGACTAGGAGGTGTGGCATTGTTGGGAGGAGGGGTGTCACTGGGGTGGCCTCTGAGGTTTCAAAAGCCCATGACATGCCATTTTCAGTTAGCTTTCCCTCTCCCTACTTTCAGATAAAGATGTAAGCTCTTAGCTACGGCTCCAGTGCCATGCCTGCCTGTGTAATGAGAATTCTGGAATTTTGGTTTCTTTAAGACAACACAAAAATGTTATAAGAATATGTTTTCATTTTAATCCCAGATATGGGGATATGGGTCTGCTTTGGACAGCAGCAGACTATGATTTGCCTCATGCTCTAGCAGAGGTATGGTTTTGCTAGCTGCAGACCCTCCCTCTGAAACTGTAAGCCATCAATAAACTTTTTTTCTGTAAGCTTCCTTGGTCATAGTGTCTTCGTAGCAGTTCAAATGTAAGACAGAGAGCTAGGACCAGACTCAGATAAAGAAATAAAAGAAGAGGCCTAAGAAAGGCAAGGTTCTTACCTGCCCTCAGGACACTACTCTAAAATTATTTAGATGACACTAGATTGTCATGAAACACTTGGGCTGGTCACATGGCTCAGAGGATAAAGAACCCTGAGGCCAAGCCAGTGGTCTGAGCTCAGTCCCTGGGTTGCACATAGTGGAAGAATGACCTCCACACCTCAAACCATGGCATTTGCATGTTTGTACACACACACACACACACACACACACACACACACACACTGAACAAATAAAATTTAATTTTTAAAAAATTATAAATAAAAATGAAACAGTGATAGTTGAATTCAACTTTATTGTTTATAATCTCTATGCCACAAGTTCTTGCTGAGCTCCTGTCATAAACCCAAGGTCACAGGCAGTCTGTTACCTTGGGGCTCCGGTCATAGGCCTCAGGTCAAGTTTCTGAGCCAAGGCAAAGATGGGTGAGAGTAGGTTTTGCATTGTTTCCTGATGGACAAACTTGTTTGGAATCTCTCAAGTTCCTGGGGGCATATAGCTGATTACAGTTCACTTTTGGAGAAGTATTCTTTTGTATTTCTGGGTTTCCTTGTCAAAGCCAAGTCCACAGATTCCTGAATGTTCTTTGCCACCCTGAGTCCTGTTTTGATAGCAGTGTCAATCCAGCCATGGGGCAGAGCTGTGTGCTCACCTGCAAAGTAGACCTGCCCTTCCGGCTGGCTGAGTTCCTGGGCATAGTCCACATATTGGTAGGGGGTGAAGAAGGCAAAGCCACCCATGGAATAAGGATCTTGGCTCCAGTTCTTGATTGTGGAGTAAGGACAGAGAGCACGGAGTTCTTCTTTGTGACGATTGTGAATAGCAGCTAGGTCATCCAGAACAATATCCACTACCCGAGTGTGGTCCAGGGCTGTGAAGAACATGGAGTCATCATCCAGGGTGTAAGATGCCAGGACGACCCCTGCACCATTGGGGAAGATGTGGTTGGGATAGTAGATGAAACGGGAAGGCCGGTCGGTGCTAGATTTGCCGCTGGAAATGCCATCTCTTTCCCAGAAACGTTGTTTGCAGGCCAGGATCACTTTGGTGGCACTATTGTAGTGGACGGAGCGCAGAGCATCCTGCTTGCTGAGAGAGAGCGGTGGCTGGAACCGAAGGAGGCGGGCAGCCTTAGCAGTGGTGGCCACCACCACAAAATCCGAAGTCAGCCGCGCCCTGGGCTGCAGAGGGTCAGGTGTCCTGAAGGTGGTGTGAATACAGTCTCCAGATACCTCCACTTCCAATGCTGGTGAGTAGAACCGGACAGTCCCTGGGAGGAGAGAATCGTGCAGGGCCTGGGGGAGTTGGTCAAAGCCTCCAACGATTTCATCGAACCTGAGAATGAACCAGCAGAGGGGCAGATGAGTGGGTTGGTGGACAGGCTATTTGGAGGACAGGCTGCTGAAACTGGACAATGACTTAGTCCCTTTTCAGACACGTCCCAGATATATTTCACAGGGATAAAAAGTTGGCGAAGAACCAAGGCCAAACAGAGTGTCTGTTAGCTCAGGGAAGAAAAGAAAGGCACTGCTTAGAGGTGACCAATCAGAAGAGTACATTTGTTCTGATATACTCTCTCTCTCTCTCTCTCTCTCTCTCTCTCTCTCTCTCTCTCTCTCACACACACACACACACACACACACACGTGTACACACACACACACACACACACAACACACCCTCCTCTGTCACTTACCTCCTATGGCCACCCAGAAAGCTTGGCCATAAGCTGACAAAGACCCAGAATTGGACTTCTAATCCTCCTGCCTCCACCTCCCAGGTGTTGGGGTTATAGGCTTTTGCTGCCCCTCCCAGTTTCATGTGGTGCTAGGGTTGGAAGCCAGGGCTTCAAGCATGCTCAACAAACTGTCTAGCAATTAAGCCAGCTCCCCAGCCCTGACCCAGGGTTCTTACAACCCCTTCATAATGTCCTCAGAGGCTACTCAAGGCAAGTAGCCTAAACACTACAGAGCTGTTTTATTTAGTCTGTCTTGAATTTCCTCCCCTCCTATGCTTCCTAAAGGAACTTCTTGGCTCAGATTTAAGTTGATAAGAAGGGTAGGGGTCTATGCCAAAAAAAACAAAAAAACAAAAACAGACAAACAAAAACAGTATGTCTAGATAAATCAATGCCCCAGGCTTCAGTTCAGCTACCCTGTGGCCTGGTTTTGGTTTTGGTTTTTTTTTTTTTTTAATCTTTTTTCACAAAACCTGTTCATCTTTATCTTTTTGTTGTTGTTTTGAGATAAGCTGGCGCTGGAGCTTCAGGTCCTCCCGCCTCCACCTCCTGAGTGCTGGCATTACAGGTGCGTACCACCTTGCCTGGCGCCATTTTATCTTTATAGCTACAGATCACATGGTCTGTGACCAGTGGTGACTGGAGTCTTGGGTTTACATCCCGGCAACCCAGTCTTCCCATGCTGGAAGATGACAAGTGTCCCTTGAAGCAGGGCTGAGGTCACAGTCCCTGTCACAGAACAGATGAGGATTACAGTAACACACTCTTAGTAGACAGAGGTTCTCAGAGTGGGGTCCTAAGGTAGGCAGCATATCAGAAGGCTTGGCTCCGAGTTCTACCCTAGGTGTTTAACGTGCCCCCTGCCCCCGCATCCACTCCAGTGAGTGACTCTGAGATTTCTTGGAGCCTGAATCTCTGAGAGATACACTTGCCTCTGCCTCTGGGGGTGGGGAGGGCTTTCTCCTGGTTTCTTAGTTCTGCCCCCAACTATCACTACTTATCACTACTATCTTCATCATTAACTAGTGACCCATCTCACCGGGGCTCTTGGAAAAAGGAGATGATGCCACGCAGGGTCTCAGTAAAGGCCTCGTAGTAACCGGAGTCTGTGTTCAGCATGTCGCCAATCATCTGCACGGCCCCGCGGCTCAGGTTCCCCACCTTGATCAGGTACTCCTGTCCTCGTGCGTGAGGAAATAAGGCAAGCAGGTGAGAATGTGCACAGAGACGACATGCAAGCGCTTGCTTTCTACCCAAGGACAGTAAGGAACAGACCTGGACAGGGTAGGACAGGCGTGCACCCTCTGGGGCTCAAGGCTACGTTGCATATGTGTCCAGCCATGATCCCCTTGATCTACGGGGAAGTTAACTATAGTAGGTATTGTTCTCAGCCTACAGACTCTCTTCTTAGCCTTTAATTTCTACAATCCTCTCATATAACGGCAAGGAGTCCTGCTTTGTTAGATGGGAAAGCTGACACGGTCTCCATGTCCATCCATGTGGACCCAGCCTGGCTTCTCAGAAGAATCCAAGTAGCAGAAACATCCCAACCTGCCCTAACCTCCCACTCCTGCCCCATCACCTGCTGAGCAGTCATCCCATCAGCAAGTGACCTCAGTGCTGGCTCCTAGTGCACCTGCTGCCCTGATTGTGCCCTGTGTTTTGTCTCTGTTCATTGTCTCAGATAAAGCCATCGTGGACATGACAAACATGGCTGGAATGGCTTCACTAGTTAGAGTGGATGACCATCTAGTGTGCCCCAGGGCTGAGTTGATCCCTATCACAAGCGTAGACAGGGCTAAAGGCCAGGCACTGATTGGGTACCACTGGTTGGGGGAAAATGCCTCTATTCAACATATTCATTTAAACCAGAGTAAAACTGTAGGGCCATGACATCCTAGGAGCAGCAATACCAGGGCACCTGAAGACAAGCCAGACCTGTCAGGACCATCAATATCAAGGCTCAGAAAGGTTCTCTGTGCCCCAAGTCTGGGTGTATGTTACAGTGGATGTGGATTTGTCCATCTCTGAATAGTATTTATTCTCTCTTCTCCTTCTTTCTCTTCTTCACACCAAACCCTGAGTGTGCAGTGGTCAGACTACACGTGACAACAGGCTTTGATCCACCCAATATCTGAAGCAAGCATCCCACAGAGGCAAACCACAGCCTACTTAGAATGGTCAGGACCTGAGAGTGACTATCAGCTTCTATCTCAGGATCAGGTGGAGAATACTTATTATCCTCCCCTTGCCAGACCCATGGGTGGGCTGGCTCCAGGATCCGTGAGCCAACAGCCTCCAGTCAGGGCTACAGCAGGAACTCTCCTTGAGTTTTTGGATCTATAGTGCATGAGATTGAACCCAGGGCCTCACACATGGTGGATCAGGTCTTATACCAGTGTGCTATACTCACACCCCCAGCTTTTCCTGCTTTTCACTGTGGTCATGTTACAAAAGATGTGTTCATCAGTGGTGACCTCCAAACTTATAAGAATGGTCCCCAGGGAGTACATAGCCAAGTGACACAGCAACACACAGGTAAGCATTGTGACTTTTGCAGAACTGTGTAAACATCTAAAGATACATTTTGAAACATTAAGCAACACACACCTATCTCTATAAGGCTTCCGGAATCTGTCTGCCTTTGATTGCAAGGTGTTATGGAGGACTCCTTTGATACAACAAGCTCTGAAAAAGTAGCCTGGATTGCCCTCCTCGGAGTGATTTCTGTTGAGTTCCTTCCATCCATCCTTCTTTCCCTCCCTCTCCCTCTTTCTCCCTTCCTCTCTTGCTGGAGCTTGTGTTCTCTCAGGGTAGACAGGGAAGACTAATAAAGTGAAGCTCAATCAGCCCCAGGTGACAGTCCCTCTGCAGCGTTTCAGGGCACAGTGGGACATAAAGTTTTAGGACTGACCTTGGTGGAGAAGGAGTCATACTTCTCCAGGACCTCCTGGCAGCTGCTGTGCTTCAGCTCTTCCACAATCTAAGAGGGAAGAAGACAGGGCAGCCATGTGCCGAGGGTCAGCCCGCATAGACTGTTAACTGTGCCCCATCCATGCATCTGCACCATGCTTGTTCAACAGTGTGTGTGGTGTGTGTGTGTGTGGTGTGTGTGTGTGTGTGTGTGTGTGTGTGTATGTGTGTGTGTGTGGTGTGTGTGGTGTGTGTGTGTATGGTGTGTGTGTGTGTGGTGTGTGTGTGGTATGTGGTGTGTGTGAGGTGTGTGTGTGTGTGTGTGTGTGTGGTGTGGTGTGTGTGTGTGGTGTGTATGTGTGGTATGTGTGTATGGTGTGTGT